CGGCGGTCACCTAGGTGGGATTCCACCAACATAGCCATTACGCTAACTGCTGGTCCTCCCTGGTTTGTTTTTCAAGCCACCAGGACCAGACTTTAAACCATATGGTTGGTCATGTGGCATCCAGCTCCCTTAACCACTAGATCACAGAGCCAACCCTTGTATTCTCTTTTGAAAATTGTAAAATTTTGCTTTTCATATTTACATCTTAATCCACTTGGAATTGATTGTTCCTTTAAGGTGTAAAGTAGGGATCTAATTATATAATTTTCCATGTTGATAATCAATATAGCCCCAGTACCTTTTAGGGGATAATCCATTCCTTCCTCACTGATTTAAACTATCACATATACTAAGTATCAACTTATTTATTTATTTATTTATTTATTTGGGAGAGGTTTTTCCTACAGGGCGTGTGAGCTTGCCAGAAAGACAGAGAAGAGACAGAAAGCGAGAAATCACCCCCCCTGGGGGGGATGGTCATGCTGCAATCCCTTCTCCTCCATTCTCCTCTCGGGATCATGGGCACCCACACAGACACACACACACACACACACACACACGCATGAGTTTAAGCCGCCGGGTCCCGGACTCGAACCACAGTCGACTACATAGGAGTCCAGCGACATAGCTATTACACTAACTGCTGGTCCTAGTATCAACTTTTCATATATGTTTGGGTCTGTCTGGGGGCTCTGTATTCTGTTCCATTGCTACCTCCATACTTACTCTATTTTTTGGAAACAGTTTTGCTATAAGGCCTGTGCGCTCATGGAGAGAAAGGGAGAAATCATCCCCATTGGGGATGGCCACACAGCAATCCCTTCCCCTCTTGGGATTTTGGATGCACCCGCACACGTGCTGTGGGAGTTTCAAGCCACAGGGGTCCAGGACTGGAACTGCAGTCAGCCATGTGGGACTCCAATGCCTTAACCACCATGCTACCCGCTGGCCCCTATACTATACTCTTAATTACTACAGGTTTATAGTCAAACTTTATGTCTACTCCATTACAGATTCTGGAACAAAAGAATAATGCGATTGAAACATTACTCTGAAAGGCATATTTTTATCGCTGTCAACAGTAAATAGGCCAAAGGAGAGATGAAAGCCAGTAGGATTTATTTGGGGATAATGCAGTAACCCAGATAGGCATCACAAAGGCTTAGGATAAAGTAAGAGCAGTGTGACTAAAGAAAAAACAAGGAATCTAAAAGTAATTCCAAAGAAAATATAAACAGTATTTGTTGATGATTTGGCACAGAGATTAGGAGAGAGGAAGAAAGCATATCGCTCGCTCTGTGGTTTCAAGTCTGGGCGGCTGTGTGAAATGAGTTCATCTTGTTGCGCGGTGTTTTGGTAACAGTGGGGTATTATTAGGTAAGAGGTCTGGTCTAGGGATATGCATTTGGACGTTGCTCGCTTAGAGGTGAGCTGGAGGGGACGCCAAGATGGAGGAGTAAAGGTCTGAGCGCTGGAAAAGGTTCCGATTTAGGGAATGGAAGAAAGAAGAGGAAGGAGAGACTATCTGAGAGGTAGGATAACCAACCCAGTGGTTTATACTCGCCTTAAGAATTATTTGATTGGATGACGTGGGTCCTACTGGCCCAACACGTTAGGGTTCCCCCATAGGTAAAACTGCTTTTTGTTTCTGTGCCAGTCTTCAACCTCAGGGCAGTTTTGGCGTTGCAGGTGGCACTTGAAGCGTGTTCCTTGCTGGACGAGGTAGAGACGCCCCCGGTCCGTCGGGTCTGTGGCTGCAGTTCCGCACACTGGCGTAGGGGGCGGAATCTGCGGCGGCCTGGAAAACCGGCGGGGGCGCGAGGCGCCGCTCTCTCTCGGGTCAGGCTCTCGGCTCTCGGCTCCCGGCTCCGTCTCCCGGCTCCCGACTCCGGGCTCCCA